ATTTTCCAGAATTAATAAGTGATGACTCATCCCATTAAGTGGAGACAATGATTTTTTTTAAGTCCACGAGGACTTAGTCCTGTTAAGATTCCCATTATTGCAAAACTGCATGGGCATTCATTCCAAAACACCTGATTGTGATCATCGCAACGTTATTATCACGGGTCAAAATCCAGGCTGTTTATGCTTGCAAAAAAACCCACTATCTGTCACTGGGTCCCATGGGGTTGCTGATAGCTGTGGAAATGCAGAGTCCTACGAACTTAAGCAACATCATCAGTTTTTTGGTTCAGCATAATTGTCAGTGTGAAAGACTTTGGTACAGGCTCGAACTTTAGATATCACACGTTCCAGGGCAATATATGAAGGCTGAAGTGCATGCCTGCATGCTGTGTACACACCGAGTAGTTTCTGGGGTTGATCTTAACTCCAGCTTTTGCACCTCCGAAAGGCACATCTACACAAACAAGTGACACACGTACACAATCAGTCAACGTTCAGACATTTCAGGGAGGTTCTTTAATCAAAGACATTCGTGTGTTTAAACTCTCCTGCATGCGTATCACATACGTGCGCCGTGTATTTTGTCACCGGTCAATATAAATGCAAGCGGATATATTTGTGATGCTTTCCAACTAAAGTTGAGAGCTAAGGTGCAAATACAGGTTGTTAAGATGTTCAAACACCAAATAGACACCAATTACCAAGGTATTATGTCTGCATGAACCACACAGACTCGTTTGTGTTATTTACCACAAGTATTGGTGGTTAATGCAGACATGACCATTTGATAAGATTGAGAACATTTATGAATGATCTCTATCCGTCTGTAATCGGGCGGGGGGAAGGGTGCACATCCTAACTCTCATGAAGGGAATCCAATGCGACCAATATGAACCAATCTGTAGAATATAGATGTGTTGCTATTAGAGTTACCGGACTGAAAACCAGACAAATTGAACCAAGGGTTGCACAAATATATTTGTCCTGACAGCCACCCATCAGTTTCAGTACTGCTAATCAAATACTTCTAAAAACAACCACATGTTGGAAAGAGTTGCATAAGTCATGCATACGCAGGCTCTTCCCTAACGTGTTTAAATTTCTTGTTGTATGCTTGGTGAGAGTTTGCACTTGGTATGCCATTGCAAGTGAACAGCGTGTAATTGCGTGCATTGTTTCTCCATTTCCACCACCCCCTACCCCCCCAGGTGAACGATTAAAACGTACCCACAACAGCGCACTTGTAGGTCATGAGCGACGCCAGGGCCTTCACCTCGTCCACGCACACGTCCATGCTGTAGCGGATTCCTGGGAGTCCACACGCACCACCGCACCACATCACAACACCAATCACTATTTGGATCCATAGAGCATAAGAGAGAAGGTCTGAAGCCTGGACTTGAACAGGCTGGCAGGATGCATGTATGCTGAGCTCCTTTTGCACCGTACATAGTCAACCATGCTATCGGAGGTGCGGGGAAGGACAACAAACTAAATACAAAAAATAGTTCTAAAGATATGAGTTTTCAACCGAGATAATGATTTCAAAGTGCATATCTCCAGTAGCTTCCTAACATCGGAAGGAAGAGTGTTCCAAATGGCCGCAGAAGCGCACGTCTGAAAGTGTGCGATGCGGTGACCGACTACAAGAAACGTCTGACCTCTGTGATTGCCAACAAGGGTTTTGCCACCAAGTACTAAGTCATTTTTTGCAGAGGGGTCAAATACTTATTTCCTTCATTAAAATGCAAATCAATTTATAACATTTTCGACATGCGTTTTTCTGGATTTTTTTGTTGTTATTCTGTCTCTCACTGTTCAAATAAACGTACCATTAAAATTATAGACTGATCATTTCTTTGTCAGTGGGCAAACGTACAAAATCAGCAGGGGATCAAATACGTTTTTTTCCCTCACTGTATATATGTAATCGTAGATGGTTCCAGATTGGAATGTGTGTGTTAGAAATGCGCCCGTGTCACACAGTTTGATTTAAACCTCACAGAGAGTAAAAAAACAAGATGGCCCACATTTAATGGGGTATATAAATAACAAAAACTTAAGGAATTTATCAATAATGTTGCCCTAAGAGCAAACACAAAAAGGGCCACTGCCCGAGACGTCTCTTGTAAGACATCGCCTATTAAACATACTCTTTCCTTTTAGGGTAGTGTTATTGAAGGATCAGTAGTGCTTTTGTTATTTATGCTTATGCCAATTCAGTATTACAAAAATGTGTCTCGGGGAGGGGGGGGGGTGCTCGCTGGGTGTGGCCCACATAGAGTGGATGTCATTCCTGCAGCTTTCAGCCAAAGGCGTGGTCATTTAAAGCACAAGCAGATAACCCGTGTAGAATAAAGCAGTGTTGGTGTGCATTCCTATTCACGCCCGAGAGAAACATTTAACGGCGTGAAAGTTGGTGGCTGGAGAGGCACTTTGCAGGAGCTACTTTTATCCCAGTCTATTATAAAAAAAACATCGTCTATGATGCTGTTTTTTTTCTCTCTCTTTCTTTTCGGGCAGTATTCTTGCCGATTGTGCCGAGTTTTTAATTTGACTTCATGGACTGGGGTCACCTGAGTGTGAGTGTTGTGTGCCCCATGTAAGACGAGGATGCTCACCAACTTACACCGACGAGCGTGGGGAAGTATGGTAACATGTGTATCCCACCACCACCTCCAATGCCAGTTTTGGGAAAACCTCCATCCAGCAGTGGATTGATCATAGCTGACAATGCTGATGCCTTAATGTAGGCTGCACTGCCTTTGTAACGCGATGATAACCTATCACTCGTGTGTGGGTGTCGTTGGACTAATGAAGGCTCAATATGGGACCTTTCTTGCCAGTATTAAAATATAACAATAGGTTTTACCCCTTCTGGCAATAAAACAGGTGTCAAAATGTTAAAACACCGCACAGAATCCTTATTAAAGGAATCCTGTCTGCATGAACCACACGTGCTTGTGGTGAACATACAAACAAAAAACATGCTCTGATAACATATGCATTGTCTTTGAAACGGATTGGTCCACACCAGAGACAGCTTTCTTTTGAGCCTCGTCTCAAAGTGTGAGCCCAGAGAACGCCAAAAGGCGAACTGCACAAAGGCAATGCCACTATCAGGGCATTTATAGCTCGGGGTGAGCAGCTACAATATGCTGAAGAACATTCGGGGCCCCTGACAAATCAGAGCCCCTTATAAAATGCCAAAATTCCAACGGCCCTCACTTAATGACGTGGCTCTTAGTCTCCACCAAGGATGAGAGGTGGGGGCGGCGGGTGCCTTGGCTACATTTTGTTTGCTCTATAAGGAAAAGTTGCAAAGTTTAAATGAGACTAAGCCAATCAATGGAGACATGCAGCCAGCCCACTCGACACGATTATTATGTAACGTGCAGTGCTGCGCGTTTCAAGTTTTCCATCGCCGTCAGAGCTGCGAATGCCGCCGTGCCTATGACCTCTCTGCCTGTGCCAAAGTGCAGAGAGGAACAACGGAGAATCTGGAAAACATCCGTGGGTATGTTCAACAACCCCGGACGTGCACTTAAGACGCTTCAAAGATGTGGGCAACCATTAGTTGAACCAAGAAGTCGGTTTTAAATTGGGTCATACACTAAAACACCATTTAGGACTTTAATTCAGAGATAAATCGTTTGTCAACATTGACGAGGAAAATTAATCCCGAAAGCCATCATTTCCTTTATGGATAATGTTGCGCCTTCAAAATAACACCAAACATACGAAGGGACGGCACACAACGGAGGTGCCGTGTGCTGCCCTGAGGTGAGATCGCCCCGCCAGGTGACAACAGGTGATGCTGCCCCTAGTGACACATGCTTTCCACATGGAGATATTCTGACCAGGCCACTCGTGCTGCCCTTACGTAACAAGTGCTGCCCGCCCCCCGGGGCGAGATGACAGCCCGAGGTTACACAGATGAGATGATAACCCGATGTTCCACAGGCGAGATGACAGAATTGGGTGGCACAAATTATACTTTAATTGTAGGTGACTCAGGTGAGAGGATTGTCCCGAGGTGACCACAGGTGAGATGTTGACGATAGCCCCAGGCTACCCCTCACCACCACCACCACTACCACCACCGCCACACACACACACATACACAGGCGCGCACCTCCTTTGCAGGGCGTGCGGTGCTGGCTGTGCTGCGCGCGGTACGCCTCGATCACCTCCCACTCGCCGTTGTCCCTCTTGATGGGGAAGCACACGCTCAGGATGTGGTTGCAGGGCTTCACGATCTTGAGGATGCCTCGCACCCGGCGTCTCTTCTCTTCGGGCGACTCCCTGGTGCGCAGGTCCTCCACCAGCTTGTCCTCCACGATGCTCACGCCGCGGTCGAAGAAGCCCTCGACCATGTGGAAAAAGTTGGGGTCGTCCACGTCCGACGAGGTCCCCGCCGCCGCCGCCGACGAGAGCGGCCTCGCAATCGGAGCAGGCCCCGTCAAGGCGGCGCGGGAGGCGGCGCCCCGCAGCGCGGCAAGGCTGAGGAAGCGGTGCATTGCGACGGGAGTCGAGTCGAGTACGGGCGGTGGACGCGGCGGCGTGTGGCGGCGTGTGAGGTGCCCGCGGGGGTGGTGTGGAGTAGGCGAAGTGAAGCGGGCGTCGGGGAGGAGTGAGAGAGCGCAGAGGAGGACCCGGGGTCGGAGTCTAACCGGGGTGAGGACTTGGGCGCGGGGGTGGAGGGGGGGGGGCAGTCTGAGCTCAGCTGATTGCAGCGAAAGGGGGAGGGTGCAGGGTTGGGGCGTGGGGTGTGGTGGGCGGGTGCGACGTCATCAGCGGTGTTTGTGTGGCCATCTTGGTGAGGGGTAAGTTTGATTTGAGTGAGTCGCGCAATGGGGGAGACGAGCGGGATGGTGGGTGGCGGCCATATTGGTACAGCAGAGCTGAGTGTGATGAGGGGGAAGGTGGTGGTGGTGGTGAAGATGGTGGGGTGATGGTGGTGGTGGTGAACTGGTGATGGTGGTGCGTGACTGGTTTAACTCCATTGACCCCCCTCCCTCCCTCCCTCGCTTATAATAAATCAAATCTCCGCCACGGTTCGTGACGAAAAAAACAAATATTAGACTGTACTGGAGTGTAATGAAAGGAGCGGTGACGCAGTGGTTAGCGCCTCGCGCTGTGAGTTATAGCAAGCCCCTTCGCCAACCCGCACTGAACCAGCGTGGTGAAGTATGGTCGAACAACCCCCGATGAGCCCACACCACCTGGGGGAGACCTCCTTGCAGCAGCAGTGGGTTTGCTTGTAAACAATAACAATTTGTATTGTCAACATGAGCACTTGAGACGCGTAATGGGTGCAATGCACGTGCTCACACACGTGTGTGTGTGTGCGCATGCTTATTGACATTGCACAATTGCGGTTAAAGTCTTAGCAAATTATTGCGGGTTTTTTTTTACAGCGTAATTGTGTTTCTTGTTTTGATCAAATGTTCAGTTTTGTTATGAGAATTCTGATAGTATTGTCGGTACTGTGTTTTATCCCAGGTCTCTCTATTGAATAAGAGAACTGTGTTACGACAATCCTGTATATCAGACAAGGTCTTCGTTTGTACGCGGCTGGCGGGCGAAATGAAAGAAGATTTTGACAGTACCCGTAGTTCGAGGCGGATGTCCTGAACATTCGTGGTAAGTGCAGAGCTTCCAATTTTCTTAAAGAGAGAAAAAAAACGGACTTAAAGATGCTTTCTAGGAGCGCGCCGCTATGTTAATTACGTGTGCTGAACTTCTTTCGCACCGTACGTAGCCAACCACCGCTCATCGGAGGTGCGGGTGTAAAGACAACAATCTAAACACAACAACACAGCGCTCTCTGGACGTAAACCAGTGAGGTTACTGCACCCGAATGTCACTCGGGATGAGCGAGGATTTGGATTCAAGTCTTGACAACTGGCAACGTGTATTTTAGTTTTTTTTTTGGGGGGGGGGGGGGGCATTTAATGTAAAGAAATATTAACTGTTACATGAGTCACTCCAGTTGTAAATGAACACATCAAATTTATTTATTTTAGACTTTTACATTTTTTTTTTGCAACGAGTGCGGCTTGTGTTGATTAAATAGTATGGAATTGTTAAGGAAATGAAACGGATTCGAAAATAGTAAGCACACAAAAGACATGTCTATGGGACCCTTTTGCCAGTATCGAAATAGTTTCTGGCATAACACAGGTGTTATATAATACCATATAGACACACAAGTTTGTGCCCCTGCATGGAAATACAACGTTTAGATCACCAGCCTATGGGTTCAGATCAAATGTTTTCCAGCAAAGAGTTTGGTCATTCCACAGTAACGGAGTTAGAAGATCAAACACAGTTTTATCAGAGATGTTTTACTATATTGTTGCAGGATGAGGTTTCATCCAGCAGTGGACTGACAAAAAAAGGTTTAGCATGTTTCGCATGAACCTGCTATATAAGAGCATGACAACACGAAAACCCCCTATTCCTTTTACATTTTGTGAAGGTCAGATTCAATGCCCCGTTCTATAATGAATTTAATTGATTTTAAAACAACAGACAATATGCATCCTCATCATATTCGATTATACCCATCAGTTCAGTTCATTTATTTGGTATTGCCTTGTGAGCCATTCGGCTCTTGATTCAGGTGCAACCGGAACAAACAATTACATTAACAAGACATTTAAAATTGATTGAAAGCTTTCGTGACTGCAAGGATTCATCTTCTTTGGTTCTTTAGGTAGAGTCACGTAGAATGAATAAAATAAAATAACACAAAAAATTATCGCGACGTTTCGGCCACAACACAAGTGGCCTTCAGGTGAAAGGAACAGACCTGTCGGGACGACAGAGCTTCAATGAACGTTGTTAAGATTCGTAGCGTCTTTTAAGCTGGTTTAGAGAAGTGAGGCACCTTGGCAAAGGGGTTTACATATAAAACAGGAGAATTTAGCATTGAAATAGCTGAGTGATTAGCTTGTGACTGGTCACAGAAATGGCTATGTTAAAGTCAAAGCCTACACATCCACAGGCTTTGACTTTAACATAGCTATTTCTATGACCAGTCACAAGCTAATTCCTCAGTTATTTCAATGCTAAATTCTCCTGTTTGATTTGTACTAGGTGCCTCTGTGGATGTGTAGGCTTTGACTTTAACATAGCCATTTCTGTGACCAGTCACAAGCTAATCACTCAGTTATTTCAATGCAAAATTCTCCTGTTTGATTTGTACTAGGTGCTCTGTGGATGTGTAGGCTTTGACTTTAACATAGCCATTTCCGTAACCAATCACAAGCTAATCACTCAGCTATTTCAATGCTAAATTATCCTGTTTGATTTGTACTAGGTGCCTCTGTGGATGTGTAAGCTTTGACTTTAACATAGCTATTTCTATGACCAGTCACAAGCTCATCACTCAGCTATTTCAATGCTAAATTCTCCTGTTTTATATGTAAACCCCTTTGTCAAAGTGCCTCACTTCTCTAAACCAGCTTAAAAGACGCTACGAATCTTAACAACGTTCATTGAAGCTCTGTCGTCCCGACAGGTCTGTTTCTTTCACCTGAAGAAGGCCACTTGTGTTGTGGCCGAAACGTCGTGAGAAATTTTTTTGTATTATTTTATTGTATTAATTTATTATTTTATTCTCATTCTACGTGACTTTACCGAAAGAACCAAAGAATATTTAAAATTGACTGCACGCAAATAGCAACATCTAGGGAAAAACATTAAAATCTTGCAGAAAAAGCGCCGTTAGTTTATGCTGTGTGCAAAAAAAAATCCCAGTTGGATGCTAGATAAACAATAACAATACAATTTAGATCAAAGTAATGTCTAAATTAAATCTTATTCGAAATCACTAAAATAATGCTATAAAAACAATGTTACAGTGTACATAGGAACTGTGATCGAAGTTTAACAATAGCGATATACATAGCATGTACTAAACTCTGCAGCATATCGTTGGCTGTATGAGTCACTCCATGGCAGCACGAGTATCAGTTGGAGAAGCAGCAGCACACTATAATCAAAATACATGATCATTCTTTGCTGAGGTCATCCGTTACGATATATTTGATGTATTTGTTTAAACATGAAAGCCCTGGTACCGGTTTCGAATCCCCCCCCCCCAAAAAATCGAAAACTGGGAGCTCTGCTCTACTGGACATCTGTGAAAAGGAGCTTTATAGCTCATCGGATTCCTTCAGTATAAATACACATTCTGATTGCAGCCCCATCATAAGCGCGTGACCATTTCAACACATACTGACTCTCTCGAGCAGAGAGAGCTTATTTTCTCTATGAACATTCTCAGGGTTGGTACGTGAATAACATCCACAGACATCGCGAGAAGTATAAATACATACTGGATGTAATGTGAAATGAAGTCTGCCCTATTCATGGGTTAGCCAGGTTGTCTAATAGCAAGCGTCCTTCACTGCTCTTGCTCGGGTCAACGCCACGCGCGGGGAGGTCGTGACAAGGGGGCGTTGTCCGTTTCGTGCTCGCAGCCAATGGCAGGAGGGGGTGGTGTCCGCCTTGTTTGCTTGCGGGGAACCCGGTAGTGGGTGTGGTTGGCACGTGGTCTCGCAAGCCCACGTGTTGACAGAATTGTTGCGGCAGTGCAGTGTTCGCTCGTACGGGTTGGTCAGTAAGCAAATTCGCGATATTATTTATAGACAGATGTGATATAATGTAAGGGAGAAGTTACAGCCCCGTTTTCGTCCACTGCCGGATAGAGTCCTCCCCACCCGCCCCAAGTTGGTCATGGGGATTGTTTGACCATGCTTTGCTGGTCTGTGCGGGTTTGGGGATTGTCAGAGATTACTCGCCACTGATGTTTGCCTTGGCCAGGAATTGAACCGGGTTTATAGCGCAGTTCACAAACTACAGTGTCACGGTTCCCAATGTGATAGGACATTATACTGTGTTTGCGTGGCCAGACCTGTTTGTGAGCCAAAATGCGACTTTTTAACTGCGGCACTTCTGCAAGTTTGTCAACCCTGTCAATGTAAGCCGCAGCCTGTCAACTTTCAAACTCTTACCGCGTGCTGATTTTCAAAGCTAATAATACTACAAGATAAAAAAATGTTTTATCAGACAATCAGCAAGCACGTTATTTGGACGTTATCGTCCCTCCCTCCAACCAGCCAGCCAGCCAAACTATATTATATAGCGCGGTTGGCTACGTTCGGTGCGAAATAAGTTCAACATGTGAAGTATGGTGCACCTCCAACCCCCAACGTCTCCACCTCCCTCACCCCTGAGTGACCTCTCGCGCGTGACAACCCCCAGGTCCCCCGCATGTCTGCCCCCCCCCGCTCCACCCGCGCCTGCCTCCTTGCCCCCCCACGCACCCCCCACCCGCGCTTACCCTCGGTGCCCCCCCCCACTCTCTGCACGCCCATACCCCTGTGCCCCCTCCCCTATACGTGCTGCTGTGCTTCGCATGGCCTCCAGCCAGACGGGTGGCGTGCTGGGGTGGGGTGCGTAGCCAGCCAGCCAGCCAGCAAAACTTCTGAAATTTTACGAACTTATTTTACCAGGTAAGGCCCGCGAAGCTATATGGCTCTTTTTCAGAAGTGACCTAGCCACAAATGAAAGCCCAAAGAAAGTGCTTTTTGTGGAAATTTATCCCAGCCAAATACTCTAAGTGCGTTTCTAAACATAATATGAATCTGATGCAAAATGTTTCTTTGAAAATCTTTATTTAAACACAGTTGCCGAGCACAGACCAAAACGCCCAAAACGCCAAGCAGCAAGCAACAAACATCACCTTTGAAGTTGTTTTAGATAAGATTTACAGGCAGACCTCGCTTAGCGCTCGTGATGCGTTCCTGGAGAAGTGGGCACTAATCGAATTAGTGCTAAAAGAGGTCATTATACCGTTGTATATATGGGGATGCATTCCCAATAGCGGCGTTATTAATTTAACATGAGCAACATATTGGGGTATTGGTAATAGCGCTCATATTTCAGATGGGAAACAATATTTCATGAGTAAAAATATTAATGTATTATTATAACATAAATATTATGTATTGTGCTCACAAGTGCATTCTACTCCTACAAGGCAGCGGTGGGAGAATGGGTTGGAGGATCTTCTGCTGCACTCCCAATCTGCGTCAATCTCAGAGAAGAGCTCCAGGACCTCCGTCATCTTAATAATGCCCTCGGTCTACATTTCTGTGGTGAGGCTTCTTTCAGATGGAGCCTGAGAGTCTATACTGGTTCCGTGAGTTCTCACCTGACTCCTCACCTGACTCAACGAATACTGTAAATATTGAAAAAGTTAGATTTAAAAAAATGTAATCGTGACTATAAATAGTGATAATCGAACCTCGGGGGGGAGGTGGGTCTGGTTGGCTTAGTGTACGTCGTTCTCATTGGTCACACGAATGATGGGGGTTGGGACATTTCCTTGCCCAGCGCTTCTGCGTGTTCTCACTCGTAAGCACTTTATAATATTTTAAGTTTTTGTTCATTTGTTTTAGTAAACCAAAACATCCAGGACGTAGAGCGCTTCGACGAATCGACGTGTAACGTGTTTCTCGAATTGAGCAAGGTTATAGCTGATGGGACGGAATTTACAAAGTCGGGCAGTGTGAGAAAAGCAGGTTAAATGTTTTAACCTGCAGTACTGCGGTTTGACGCGGTACGGACGATAAATGACAGTTTCAGTGGACCGAGTCATCGGCATGGGTGGTATGCACTGCGTGGACTTGGCCACTGAGCTGTGCGGAGTTGGGAATTGATCCAACGTGCCGCGGGGTTTTGCGCGAGGGAACGCCTCTCCATGGCCTGCTCGCTTAACACGCGGTCGGGGTTAGAGGAGAACACAAACACCGCAGTGTTCATGAACGCCCCCCAATGCTCGTTGGCCAAGAGTCGGCCACTACCCCCTGAGACTCCCATCGGCAGCTCCCAAGTTGCGTCAGTTGTGTTCAGTTGGGCTCGGTCGTCTGTATGAACCTCACTGGAATTTAATGACCGGCGATAACTCGCCACCAGCTTCGGTAATTCTGGTCACTGTGGCCACATTTAGAAATTTGAGATGATTTAACGGAGACATTTTTATTCTTATTTATCGTTCACTGTGAGTCTTATCACTAGATTAAATGGGGTGCACCCACCCCATCTCGTCAGATCTCGGAAGCCAAGCAGGCTTGAGCCTGGATAGTGCTGGTACAGGTGACTGCCATGCATAAAACAAGTGGTGTAGGCTATTGTAGGGTTACATTGTCAGCAGAGAGCAGGAGAGAAAAAATGCTTTGTTGTACTGTACCATGTTTCCAACGCCTATACTCTTCAAATAACCCTCACGATCTACATGACGTGGGGAGGCCCTCATCCAGCAGTGGATTGACAAAGGGCTGTAAATTTTTCTAATAAATAATAATTGTTTTGCTTGGTGGTTGGATATATTTGTAAAGGAGACACGAGCTGACAATCTTGAAACAAGCTTTAAAATGTGGGCAGTACAATACAGGATTAATATAATATTACATTGCTATTTACGATTGAGAGGGTATGCATCGGTGGCAATTTAGTGATATCTGAACCCATCGTGCCTCTTTACTCTTCGGTTCTTTCGGTAAAGTCATCACGTAGGTATAAAATAAATTAAATCACGACGTTTCAGGCGCAACATAAGCGCCCGTCATCAGGTGGAAACAACCCCAGCAATAAAAAAATTGCTGAAATGGGCAAAAGGAGGCTGCTTGTGACACGAGGCTATATATACGTAAGAGGGGGGGGAGGAGCCAGGGAGGAGAGATAGAGGGGGTGGGGGAGGTGGGGTAGGGGGCGTGGCGAAGTGCAAGCTCCAACCCGAGCCCGAGTACGACAAAATGCCGGGTCTGGGAAGTGAGCGGGACTGGAGGGTAGGAGGCTGAAGAAACTGGAGATGCGGATATGAAGGCAAACTATAAAGCAGTTAAGGTTTTACCTGGTTAATAACGTCCTTCCAATGATTGCTCAATTTGTACCCATCTTCTGGGTTGAAGTTATGTTTATATATCTGGATGGCTTCATGAACAAAACCTTTGATAGTAGCCCGAAGGTTTGCAGAGCAACCTTGGTCTCAGAACAAAACAATATCATGAGAGCCCACAGCGTTATAGCAATGGTCAGCCACGGCGGAGGTATTGGTCCTGCCGTGTTTCAGATCTGCCTTGTGCTCGCGAACACGGTCCGACACATGTCGTTTCGTTTCCCCAATGTAACAATCACCACAGGAGCAACTTAGTTTGTAGACTCCCGGATATTGCATGTCAGGAATGACATCCTTCACAGATGGGATTAGATCACAAATTTTATGTACTGTATTGAACCGGACCTGGATCTTGTGTTTGTTTAGAATTTTGGAAATCTTTTTAGTAACGCCTGCTATATATGGTAGTGTGATGGTTTTGATCGGATCCTCCCCCCCTCCCTCTTACGTATATATAGCCTCGTGTCACAAGCAGCCTTCTTTTGCCCATTTCAGCAATTTGTTTATTTCTGGGGTTGTTTCCACCTGATGACGGGCACTTGTGTTGCGCCCGAAACGTCGTGATTTAATTTATTTTTTACCTGCGTGATGACTTTACCGAAAGAACCAAAGAGTATGGATTCCTGCAGTCACGAAAACTTCAAATCTAGATTCATCTTGTCTCTTCTTCGTGAACTCGCGCTGACCAGAGTGGTGAAGTATGGTCGGACATTCACCATGACCAACGTGCCGTGGGGAGGCCTTCAATGATGGATGCTCTAAGAGGGCTGAAAATTGTCCTGGACTTCAGCGGTATATATTTTTAAAAGAAGCGTTATTTTGATTCAAAAAAATGTTTGGCTCGAATAAGCTCCTCAAAACGCAAACTGGAAGCCCAGTCGATGTGTTCTAAAGAAGGGTCATTTCCGAAAAGATGTTAGCACAAGCGGTGGACAAATATCATGTGCTGGGTGCGTGCAAGTTATCTCACAATAACTCATTAAAATGGCAAAACTGGGTCAAGAATTGGAACGTGTGGAATTTTCAGGATGGACTCGTTTAAAATTGTTTTGCAAACAGTGATAAGTGCTCGGCGAGTAAATAATCCGTAAATTGTTTCAAGCAGCCCAATAAAATAGAGGAAAGAGCAGAAAAAAATGGACCATTTGTCGTTGGACTCCCTAGGATATTGATATGTTCTTGCAGTAGACAAAACATACTACAGTTGTGGACCAGGAAACTCAAGGTTTCCTTAATATGGCTCCCCCGCACAGTAAATTTTAGAATGTAAAAAACAAATCCGTGTTCACATTGTTCGTACAATGGTTTAACACGTAGGCTTTCGTGACCAATATACAGGGGTTTTTTTTTTGGTTGTAACTACCGACAAAACGTTGTACTCGAATTGTAAGTGTTGTGGGTTTACTCTCCAACACACCAGTGTAACTAGTAACCCATTGGCATGTTTTGTTTACGTGACAAACCTTACTAATTGGCTGTGTCGGCTGGTTTAACGACACATTTATGCGATCTAACTTAAAAAAAAAACTCTTATTGACGTTGTTCGCTGTAAGCTGGTTGGATGCTACTATGGTCCATCAGTATGTGTAGAAATTAGCTAATGGGATGAGGTACCTGCAGCCCGTGACTTCACTTCATACGGCCACAAGAGGTCTGTCGCTTCGAAACGACTCAAAACATGAATAAGCAGGTCTCTTTCATATCTCCGTCACCATGTAAAAAATATATATTTCTTACACAGCCAATCAGCTGCACAGCTTTCTGGGAGTGTGTAATTCCAGCAGCATAGATTCAAGACAAGTAATCTCTGGACCGGTTTCAACGCACATTGTCTCATGAGTAGAGTCAGGCTTGCTTGAATCAAGGGTGAACTGCCGGTCTTACGAGCAAGGCGGGCGAGGACTCTGTCTTTACGCTATGGCGTCCTAGTTTTTCAGCAAAATTAAATAACGCGGAATATGTTGTGTTCTCCGCAATGACGTGAATGATTATTTTGAGTTACGCAAACAATATCATCGGCCTCCAAGTTATATGCGCTAATCATGTTCTCTACTAAACCTAGATTGAAAACTCATTTGTTTAGAACCGCTTTTTGTGTTTAGTTGTCCTTGCCCCGCACCTCCGGTAAGCACGGTTGGCTGTGTAAGGTGCGAAATAAGTTCATCATCCATAATACCAAGTTTTTTGGGTTAGATCGCGTGAATATGTAAATGTGCCGTTAAACCCGCCACCACCCGACACAGCCAATTTCTCAGGTTTGTCACGTAAACAGAGCATGGCAATTCGTCACTAGTACAGCACTAACCGGTGTGTTGGAGAGCCAAGCCACAACATTTACAATCTGAGTACGACGTTTTGCCAGTAATTACAACTAGCTTCATCAGGCGACACACATTTACGCGATCTAACCCAAAAAAAACCCACTATGTATGACATTGGTCGCGAAAGCCTATGCGTTAAACTAAGTTCAACATACATTTCATGCACTCGAGTTGAAATATTTTCCGGCTGACCACAGCGCTGCTAATTTTAACACGCTCGGTCACTTCTCTAAATGCTTGGGCCTTTGCAGTGACAGAAGTGACGAAGGTGCTTGTTAAGGCGTTTCTCCCGACCGGTATTGGAAAGTCATATTTCGCCCTCGACTTGGAAAAGGTTCCCCACCGCTGTTTTTTACGAGGGCTGTATCCAAATATTTCTCCGAGCTATTTGATGAGTCGACTTGACTCATAGCGCGAAGTTTTGTTTCCAATGGAACATCATTTTTCCACTCATCGTTCCACTCTCCTGGCCCGCTACGATCGCATGGATGCTCTCTGGCCATTGCTCATGTAGCGTGATTAATCGTGGGCTCCCGGGGGGGACGACGGGTGCGGTCAAAATGCAAGTCTAGGTGTAATCAAGGAGGTGTAGCACTGATATATATTTTATTATGTGTCAGGAAACTGGCTTGTCGGTTTATTTTTCGTTCTTTTGAAGGCGTAAAATTATCGTAAACATTATTTCGTTTCCAGTTGGCACCACTGAAGCTGAGACTGGTTTCTGTTTCCTGGCAGGATGTTCAGAACCTGGCAAGCCGGGGGGCGGGGGGGGGGGGCGGGGGGGTTCCTCTGGACCTTTTTGTGCTGCCAGCCTAATCTACCCACAATGCCGCTACAACCGCCTGTTGGCTGCATCTCTCAACAAATGGAACGTTTGCATCACAGCATTGTCGACGAACTCGCGTGGGATTTTAGCGTTGTAAAAAAAAACATCAGAAACACCTCATGTTTTTAAATGTAACCCCCTTTTTTTACATATAACAATCGATCAATTGTACACTTGAAAGTCTGGGAGCGAATTGTGAATTGTGTGGACAGTTACAATAGAGTGGGGATCTGCTGCCAAAATGAAATATGACAGTGCTGACCGTTGCAAACCCCCGAAACAAATAAAGCAACCGCTGCAAACAATAGCACCGCTTCGATACTCGATGCCAGATATATTTCGTGGATACTCCCCTCTCATGAAAATTCACATCACTGTATATATCGCGCTTCCAATATGGATGTAATGAGTTCCTTCAAATAATTATTTTAACAAGATGGGATTCCAATGCGGGGATAACAATTGCTAATCATGGAAGGCGTAGGCTTAAAACTACACTTGAAAGATCAGTATCTTCCAAACGTCGTGTGAAACTCTGGAGATGAAATGAATACCGTTGAAGAATCATCTTCTTGGCGAGATCTGTCCTTACCGATACTTGCGAAGATATTAAAACGTAGTGTGAGCGGCCCACAAATGTGAGAGCTCCCAAATTTTTCCAACACAACGTAAAGTGTTCGTGTGAAATAATCGAGAAATGAGCGGGTCACGCCGAGTGAGGAGGGTGCACGTGTTCGTGGGTGCCCCCATCGTTAACCCCGATTGTTGTGACATGAGGAACAACGTGCCGGGGTCGTCAAGACCTCCAACGGGCTTCCAGGAATTCCTGTGCACTTGGCAAAAATCCACGTCGCAGCTCCTGCTGAAATGCACCTCAAGTGGCAGTGGCGGCGGTGACGGCAGGATTCCAATGTCGGCTTCTACAGCGGGAAGCGACGCGACCGAGCAAAGGGTGGACCGCGATTGGGAGGATGAGAGCGAGCCTTGCGTGATGGACGGCTCCCAAGAACTCTTCGACTTGCAGCCGTCTCTGCAGGAGTACATCGACAGCACGTTACCCGGGCCGTGCGACGACTTGACCCTCGGCAGCGCCGCCGCTGGCAACCATCACAAATGGTTCACGAATCCATCGGCGAGGACGTTGCAGGCTTCGGGGATCCTCGCGAGCCAGTCCTCCGCCGACGACTATTCCCAAGTAACCTTTCCTTCCCTTCTCACCCAGCAGCCGCCACTGGTTGCGGCGTCGGCCTCGGACCGGCTGCTATCACCTCCGTCGTTGGCAAAATGGAACGAGGAGCCCGGCGGCGGTGGTGGCGCCGGCACCGTCTGCGAGGAGTACCGGCGCGGTCACCCCAGTGGCCGTGACGTCGCGTTCAAGCGTGGCCTCGGTGCCGATGCCGCGGAGCTCGGGCGCACCTCATGCAGCTTCGGCCTAGAGGAGCTAAGTTTCGAAGCGTTTGGATCGGGGGTTCTGTGCTCACAGGTCGTGCCGCCGACCCCCGTGGCGCTCGCCAAGCGCGGCGGAAAGGCGGCTCGGTTGAAACAACACTTCGTTAGGAAGAGGAAGTTGGAACAAGAGGTCAGAGGTCACGGCAAAGCCCTCAGAGGTGAAAATAACAAATTGGCGACTTGTGAAAATGAGAAAGATGCTTCCGTAATTTTGAGTGGAAATGAGAAATGTGAAGTGGAAGCATCCCACCCTTTAACCCAATCCCCTTCTATTGTTGAAACTAAATATGCTATGGGGGGTGCTGGGGAAATTATATCAGAAAATCCACAAACACCAATGCTGCCTTTGCCTGAAATCAATGAGTGTGAGCTTGCAAGTCAAGCCGATTGGGTCGAAGAGGCGGTTTCAGCCACGGACCCAAAAACCGAACGGCCAAGAGATGGCGATGACAGTGAAGCACGGGCGCCGGCGCCGATTGTCTCCGACCTGGGGAGGCTGCTGCAGCGGCAGCAGCAGCAGCAGCAGCGGCAGGAGAGGGCGGCTCGAACGCGGCGCGGCGACCCTCAAATGCGCGCCGTCCACACCACCCCGCTCGCCGAATGCACCGGTGGCGGCGGCCGCGGCGGTCCCGGCAGCGGCAGCGGCCGCGGCGGCAGCTTCGGCGCGAAGCGGCGGAACGTGCTGGTGGCCGTGCTGGCCTGCCTGCCGGTGCGAGACGTGCGAGTGAAGAGAGGCGCATCGGCGGGTCGCTCCGTGCCGGTGGCGGGCGTGGTGGCCACGGACCAGTCGTTGGCGAGCGCCAGGGTGGTGATGTGGAGGCTGGCGGCGTTCTGGGCCCTTCTGCTGACGCCGGGCGACGTCGTCATGCTCACAGGTAAAGTGGCGGCGGCGGGGGGGGAGGGGGTTGCGAGGGGCAACTCTGCCAAGGTGTACGATGCGGCGGCGGCGGTGGCTTTCTCGTGAATGCGGTCCACGTGTCTCCCTGTTCAGATGAGCGATGGAGATGGTGCTCATCTCCTACTGGCGTATCTGAGCCATTTGCAGAAATGACATTCGCATAGGAGCGAGCAGTGCTCATTTTTATTAACAATTGGAAGGGTCATGTGTCGGCACCCTCGATTGGGCTTGAGCAGAAACCATCTCCTTGTGAGTTGAGTGCTTGAACCGCAGTGCTATGTGTGTGCCGCACGTCAAACTGAAATTATTGTGAAGTCTTGGGGAGTCAAGGATGTAATTTGAAAAGTGTATACTGGGTAGAGATGGGGACGAGGCCATGAGGGGTGAAAAATTCGTGGTGATTTTATTAAAAGCCTTGGCTTTGGTCACCAAATATTTCAATTCGTATCATCAAATCGATTGCGACACCTATCTACTGGAGCATTGGCTGACCGGCAGATCCCTCATTCAGCCGGATGTTCTCTTGAACCGTAGACATCACAGTGTCCGTTATAAATTCAAATTAAAAACTGTAATTATATTTTACCAGGTAGAGCCCACTGAGCTATGAGCTCTTTTTTTAGAGGTGACCTAGCCACACATGGTCCCTCATGAAAGTGGCTTATATCATCTAATGTGGGAATTTATAGTCGCAGCCAAATCATCTAAGCGCATGTTTCTAAATGTGGAAGGACAAACCGTAAGAACCCTCAGAAAATTCCATGTGACCCAGGAAGAAAACATATGGACAAATATACAATATTCATTGTACAATATCCAAATGTACAATATCCAGGCATTGTCAGGGTTGGAATCGAACCCAAGACCCCCTGCATACCATGCGAGGGACATAACATCTCCTCGCCACCACGGCACCCCATTAGAAGAAAATAAGTCAAAACGTCGAATAGAACCAAAGAGTAAGTCAAGGTGGGTCGGTGGCTCAGAGGGCTAATGCACCGCCAGTGCACTGATGCAGCACCACTGACATTTCTCGACGCCACCCATGATTAAACTAGAATCTCAAGACGTTTCGGCCACAACACAAGCGGCCTTCATCAGGTGAAGGGACGAGACTGTCTGGAGGACAGTCTGGAGGACAGTCTCGTCCCTTCACCTGATGAAGGCCGCTTGTGTTGTGGCCGAAACGTCGTGAGAATATTATTGTGTTATTTTATTTTATCAATTTATTATTTTATTCTCATTCTACGTGACTTTACCGAAAGAACCAAAGAAGATGAATCCTTGCAGTCACGAAAGCTTTAAATCGAAATTTAGAATCTCAAGGACAAGAAGTTGATGGTTGAAGCTCGGTCACCAATGGCTGTACAAAAACATCTGAAAATAAAAATGTCGAAAGGCAGCGGTGTCAACTGTGTGTGCCGACTGCCGAGTTTGCGTACAGAGGCCTGTTGAAGTGGCCTACAATGGTAGTTCTTGTGACATGATTTTTCCGGGGTTGTTTTCTCACCATCACAAGGTAGGGCACAGGCTCTCTGTGAGCGGAAAACGTCTTTGTCTCGTGACGCGTGACGCAGGTAGCAACACAATTCAAATTGGAAACAAAGCAGAAAATAACCATGAGGAAAATAGGTCGGGTGGTACATTGCCCTGCCGCTCCAATGCCGGTATACGTTGTGTGCAGATGAGGATGATAAAATGCTGTCCCTGGCCTTGGAAAGAGCCCAGCATTGTCTGTGAGAATCCTGCTTCCTGTTTACAGGGTGGGGGTAGGGTGGGGCAGTGGGAATGACAAGCGGTCCACTTGCAATGAACATTTTAACTAATCTGAAACATTATTTTACCAGGTAAAGCCCACTGAGCTATGTAGCTCTTTTTCACAAGTGACCTGGCCACAGATGATAGCTCAACGAAGTTGGCTTATCATCACGTGGATATTTATTGCAGCCAAATACTCTCAACGCATGATTCTAAACATGGAGGGAAAATAGCAGGGGACCCGGAGAGAAATCCACGTGACCAAGGGGAGAACATGCAAACTCCAAATACACAGGCGTCAGCGTCGGGATCAAACCCACGTCCTCCTCCACACCAGACGAGGGAGTTAATATCTCGCTGCCGCGCCGCATTTGAAACGGTCACAAATCCAAAACTTTCTCTTGCACTCCGTGCTTTTCTAAAAGGCGGTCAGTAACGGCTGAGCGCGTTGGTCAAGAATAATTACGGGAGTGTCCAACTGTGAGATGGAGCGATGAAATCATCCCGTGTGCAGGTGCAAGGTGAATTGGGGGGAGGCCTTCATCTAGCACTGGATTGACCATGGCTGCTGCTGCTGATGATGATTGTGTGAAGCCAAATGACCTCACTTTTTCGGGGTGAACAACAATGGTGTCAAAAATGCAGCTCGAGTTATTTAACCATTTTTTTTTCCCCCTATCCTTTCTGTTGATTGTCCCACCGAGGGGGCACTGTGTAAACGTTCCCACAGATACAAAGAGGCCCCTGCATAACTCTTGCACGGCCCCGAATAACAAACTGTGGGTGGGGGGGGCATTGTGCGGCACGGCACTCGCTCGCCGTACCAGGCTACGCCACCCCGCCGTTTCCAAGCCTTCCTTCCATTATTTTCCGCCCGTCCAAGAACAACCGCGCCCACGGCACTGGCGGGGGTGTTTTTTTTTTTTGCGTGTTTTACACGAGGAATGTTTTACAAAAACACTTGGAGCCGCAGTCAAGTAATGTTGTGTGCTGTACGTGTGTATGTTGAACTTCTTTCGCACCGTACGCAGGCGACCGTGCTCGATTGTGTGCTCGCGATTGATCGGCGGTGAGATGAGGTGTGTGCCCCTCTTTGCGTGTTTTTTTTTTAAATGATTAGTACAACCGGACATGTCACAGCAGGTGAGATATCTCCTCATCGGCGTCTTCCTTCTTGAGGCACGTTTTGTATGAAACTATCGATTTACAACAACAACTCCAACACGCTCGTCAATAACACTGTGACGTTATAAGGAAGACAAATATATGAAAATAGGTGATGGTTCGGGCAATTGCCCTTCTTCGTAGCACATGTTTTCTAAATTATTTACTTGCTATGAAGACAAGCCATTGCCCAATACTTCACCTATTGTATATATTTCCATTTAAGCCCACACAGTTTATTGATGAATGTGTTTTGTTGTTATGTGTGCACCACTACCAATGGGAGTACCACTAGATAATTGGAGTAGACTTTAGCTGTGTTGCTGTGTATATATATATCTATCTCTCCGACGCATATTCTGGGTGTACCGCGAGGTGTTTGTTGAGCACGATGGGAGCCTCCGTACGTCACGGCAGGGGCTCGACGTTGAAGAAGCTCCCACCACGCGGAGCGAAACGTCGGACTTCACGCCGAGCAACGCGCGGTACAACCAGAAAATGGAAGAGCGGAGCTCTTGCATTGGTGCAGTATGTTGCCTTCCATTCAGTAAGTTCAGTTTTCCATAAGCACTGCAGCCTGCTTATCATCTTTTTAAACGTGGGCGTTGATACGGAAAATGGAACAAAAGCTGGAAAGCATTGAGAGGTGCGTGCTTGGAATCACGTCTGGAAGACAGGTGGCGAGATGTTACAGTGAGGGAAAAAAGTATTTGATCCCCTGCTGATTTTGTACGTTTGCCCACTGACTAAGAAATGATCAGTCTATAATTTTAATGGTAGGTTTATTTGAACAGTGAGAGACAGAATAACAACAAAAAAATCCAGAAAAACGCATGTCAAAATGATATAAATTCATTTGCATTTTAATGAGGGAAATAAGTATTTGACCCCTCTGCAAAACATGACTTAGTACTTGGTGGCAAAACCCTTGTTGGCAATCACAGAGGTCAGACGTTTCTTGTAGTTGGCCACCAGGTTTGCACACATCTCATGAGGGATTTTGTCCCACTCCTCTTTGCAGATCTTCTCCAAGTCATTAAGGTTTCGAGGCTGACGTTTGGCAACTCGAACCTTCAGCTCCCTCCACATATTTTCTATGGGATTAAGGTCTGGAGACTGGCTAAGCCACTCCAGGACCTTAATGTGCTTCTTCTTGAGCCACTCCTTTGTTGCCTTGGCTGTGTGTTTTGGGTCATTGTCATGCTGGAATACCTATCCACGACCCATTTTCAATGCCCTGGCTGAGGGAAGGAGGTTCTCACCCAAGATTTGACGGTACATGGCCCCGTCCATAGTCCTTTTGATGCGGTGAAGTAGTCCTGTCCCCTTAGCAGAAAACACCCCCAAAGCATAATGTTTCCACCTCCATGTTTGACGGTGGGGATGATGTTCTTGGGGTCATAGCATTCCTCCTCCTCTAAACACGGCGAGTTGAGTTGATGCCAAAGAGCTCCATTTTGGTCTCATCTGACCACAACACTTTCACCCAGTTGTCGTCTGAATCATTCAGATGTTCATTGGCAAACTTCAGACGGGCATGTATATGTGCTTTCTTGAGCAGGGGGACGTTGCGGGCGCTGCAGGATTTCAGTCCTTCACGGCGTAGTGTGTTACCAATTGTTTTCTTGGTGACTGTGGTCCCAGCTGCCTTGAGATCATTCACAAGATCCTCCCCTGTAGTTCTGGGCTGATTCCTCACCGTTCTCATGATCATTGCTACTCCACGGGGTGAGATTTTGCATGGAGCCCCAGACCGAGGGAGATTGACAGTTCTTTTGTGTTTCTTCCATTTGCGAATAATCGCACCAACTGTTGTCACCTTCTCACCAAGCTGCTTGGCAATGGTCTTGTAGCCCATTCCAGCCTTGTGTAGGTCTACAATCTTGTCCCTGACATCCTTGGATAACTCTTTGGTCTTGGCCATGGTGAAGAGTTTGGCATCTGATTGATTGATTGCTTCTGTGGACAGGTGTCTTTTATACAGGTAACAAGTTGAGATTAGGAGCACTCCCTTTAAGAGTGTGCTCCTAATCTCAGCTCGTTACCTGTATAAAA